CACGCGACCCCCGCGGCCACCCTGCGCCAAACCCCCGTCGCCACCATCAAGCGAAGGGACTGTCTGAGCCGGGCCCCTGGGCTGGCCGAGAACCTCATCTGTGGCCTCAGCGCATCCTCTGAGGGGCCCGAGAAGGTCAGTCCTTGGGCTAAAGCACTTTGGGTACCAGCTGCAACCGCTGCTTCTCATCCCATTCCCCCATCCCCACCCGTGCTTCCTCCCCAGCAGCCCCCTCCTGCTGTCCTGGCACAAGGGTCTTGCTCTCCAAGGCTCAGCCCCTCGTGGTCCTGCCGACCGCGGGCACCACGTCGTGCTCAGCCCGGGGTGAAGCAAAAGGGACAAAGGGGATCCTGGTTTTTGCTCTAAATGTCCTCGCTGGCCTGAGGGCATCTGATCAGAGAATGCACCAGGTTGGAAGAGGACCCTTAAGATCATCAGGTCCAACCACCCTGTGGTGCTCTGCAGGCGCAGAAGGGCAGAAGTGAAGCGATGCTTTAAGCTTCAGGGCTGCTGGTCCCTTTGGAGGGGTCCAAGCTGCTCCTGGGGAAGTTCTGCCGCTGTATCTGCAGCCTCTCTGCTGTTTGCAGCTGCAAAGGCCCCTTTCCCTGGGGACCCCACAGAAAGCAGCGGGTTTCTCCTCCTCCTCTTCGCAGGGTGATGCTGGGAACCCACTGGTCTGCAACAACAAAGCCTACGGCATCTTCTCCTACCGGTACCACAACTGGCCGGGGTTCTACACACACATCGCTCCCTTCCTGCCCTGGATCAACAGCGTCATGAAGTCGTCGTGACCCTGCTCCTGGGGGAGCTCACACTCGGAGCCCCACGTCCTCCTGCTCTTCCTTCCCTCCTCCCCGGGAAGCACCTTCCACTGCTCCTCACGGACACAGCCGGATTCCTCCCTGGCAAAGCCAAACGGCGGCAGCGCCGGGGATGGTGCCTGCTCACTCCCACCACATCCTGCTCCCATTTCCCCTTCCTCGAGCGCCGGGGGGGGACAGCTCCGGAAGGGAAGCAGCAGGACAGCCCCGGCTGAGGTGAAGCACTGGGGGGATCCAAAGAGCAGCCTCCTCCCTGCCCATTGCCTTTGGGACACCAGATGCCTGGGTCTGCTTTGCCCCAGTTTCGGCTCCTGCTTCACTACTGCTGCTCCTGTGCCCAACCTCTGCAACCTGCTGCCTCCTTCCTCCCCTCCTCCTGTAGCTGCGGTGGGGTAAAAACACATGAACCAATAAATGGTGTCTGCATTTGAGAGCCTCTTTCCTGCTGTGGTTTGGAATTCTCTGGGATGCTGCCTCCAGCCAGGAGCAAGTCACTGCTCCAACAGCCCAGTCCCAAGCTGGGAGCCTCTGCCCTGCCTCGTGGCCTCCTCTCCCTCAGGCTCCCACCATTCCAAGGCCAGGTTGGACACAGGGGCTTGGAGCCACCTGCTCTAGTGGAAGGTGTTCCCGCCCGTGGCCGGGGGGTGGGCCCGTGGCAGGGGTTGGAGCTGGAGGAGCTTTAAGGTCCCTTCAACCCAAACCTGGCTGGGGTTCAGTGACAGCAGCTCCTCAACAACATCCAAGCGCTGTGTCCCCGGAACCCCTCAGTTCAGTGGGTGAGGACAGAATCACCCCCAAAGCTTCCAGAGATTCTCTGGTTGTACTGGAGCACCAGAGAGATGTAGGGATGAGCTCACTGGGGAGCCATAAAACGGGAGAAGGGCCACAAAGCTGATCCAAGCATTGGGAAGCCAAGAGGAGAGGCTGGGAGAGCTGAGGGCTTGGAGAAAAGGAGGCTCAGGGGAGACCTTGCTGCCATTTCCCACTTTTTCAATGGCTACAAAGAAGATGGAAGATTCTGAGTGGACACAAGAGGAATGTTTCACCATGGGAACAATCACCACTGGAATCATCTCCCCAGGGAAGTGGTGATTCCCCAATGTTGGACATTCACATTCAGCTGGACACGGTGCTGGGACAGCCAGTGGAGGTCATGCTTGGAAAGGTTGGACCAGATGATCCTTGAGGACCCTTCCAACTATGTACCATGATTCCGGGTGCAAAACACCCAACCAAGGGGTTTAAGAGAACAGGTACTTCCCAATCCCAGTAATTCCAAGTGACTTCAAGCTCCCCCCAGTCATTCCCATGGGTAGGAAAAGCTGTGAGCAAACAGTTACTGGGGATGCTGGTGGTACAGAGGGAGAGCAGGCTGGTGCTGTGGGTTTCCATGCCCACAGTGCCCTCTTTGGGTTACCAACAGGACCTGTTCTTCAAGGTCCTGCCTAAGGAACTGCTGCAATGATCCAAAAAAAGCCCTAAATAGACCTTTTGGAGCAAGGGCCCAACTGCAGGTTGGAAGTGAACTGGTGGCTAAGGTGGGAATGGCACCTCTTTCCCCAGGGCTCTTCCCACCATTCAGGTTGCATCTGGAAAGCTGATGCTGGGCTGAGATTTCTTTTCTAACCAAATCCTCTCCTGAAGAATTCCAAGCATGCTCCCATCCTACACCCCCTCTGCTTCACTGAGAGCCTCACTGAAGCCATCGCTGAAGGTCTACATGAAGCAGCAGAGCAGGAGGGACCTGCTTTTTGGATGCTTCCTGCCAACACCCTTTATTTCCATGGCCAGGAGCTACAGATCCAGAGCTGAGACCAAGGGAGCAGCAGTGGTGGGTGAGAGCAGGGAACAGCACACTTTGGGGTGTGCGGCCACCAGCCACATCCTCACCCACCCTGGGCTTACCCAGGTGCTTTCCCAGCCCAAATCCCAGCCTGGTTTGGGTTGGAAAGGACCTTAAAGCTCCAGTTCCACCCCCTGCCACGGGCAGGGACACCTTCCACTGGACCAGGTTGCTCCTGGTCACACAGGGGCTGGTGCAGGTCAGTGTGATGCAGCCCGATCCAAGGCTCCCGTTGCTTTTCCCAAGGGCCTCCCAACCACAGCTGGAATAAAGCATTCCCAGCAGGAGCCCGAGCTCCCAGCACCTCCCCCCTGTGCAAGGAGAAGGCTTGGAGCAAGGACACAGGTACCTGCCAGCGCTGGAAGGATCTTCCATGGCTGAAGATGAAGCTCAGGTTCCTCTGGCTGCAGCTTCACTTGGGTGGGACACAGAAGGGAGCAGAACCTCAGCGGCTGCAGCTTCCTGCAAACACAAAGACATTCAGGCATCTGGACTCTCCCAAGTAGTTTAATGTGGAATTCCTGGGGAACGATCCTCAGGTAGAGGGGTGAAACTCCAGGAACTCCATCCCAGGAAACCCCCTTGTGGGAACACAACCACATCCATCGCATCCCTGGGCTCCTGAAGGGATGGACTGAGCAGTGGTCCATGGTTCAGTCTGTGTTGCCAACAGACAAGCCTGGAAGCAGGTTTGCTTCCCATATTCCTCCTATTGGCAGTGGATACCCTGCAAGAAATGGGACAATGCTACAGGAAGAGGCAGTCGGACAATTCCACTGAGCAATTCTGTTCCCAAATCCTGGAAAACTAAGTCCCACAGCTTCAAAGCCAAGTCAGCCTCTGCCCACTCACCAGTGCTCTATATAGTTACTGCACATTTTACCTTCTAGTGACCAAACCACTTTGCTTTATGTCTGAATCCTGGTTTTCCAAGCAGGGACAATGTTTTTAGCCTCAACAGGCTGCAGGTCCCACAGATCCTGTTGGAGCCAAGCAGAAGGAAAGGAATGAAGAAACACATCCGGGACCACCAGGGCTTTTAGGAACAAAATTTATTCCAATTTCAAACAGAGAATTTTATTTCAGGAGAAAGATATGAAAATCCATGTTTGTTTTTTTCCATCCGAGATTTCTGTCCTAAGGGGGTTGTTGCCCAGCAGTCAGAGTGGGATCATTGCAAGAAACAAGCCCACTCCTGGACTGGAATGAGACACTTTGGAGCCTGAACAGATCCGGACAGTGGGCATCTTATTCAGCAACTCCTTTCCCCTCCCCTCTGCCCTCCCTCCCACCCCAACACGCACAACAATACATGCACTGCAAAGGACAAGGTTTAAAAACAGCGTTGGAGAGAGGATCCTTTTCAAGAGGCTAATGTTGAAATGGTCTGAAATGAGAAGATACAAGTCTAACCAAAGAAGTTC